CCCTATGCATGCTTTTGGCCCTGAAGAGGCCAGAGGAAGGCATCAGATTCCCTGGAACTGGATGGAGTTATAGGTGTCTGGGAGCTACTACCTAGGTTCTGGGAACCAAACCCTGGTCCTCTCCAGGAACAGCAAGTGCTTTTAACCACTGAGTCATCTCCACAGCCTCAGTTCTGTAATCTTTAAAATAATACTACCTCATAGGATGTTACAAGGATTTAATAGATTTATACACAAGCACACATAGGATTTATGTCTGATATGTAAAAGACACCGAATACTCACATACAAAAAAGTCTGAATTGAATATTATTTTGACAAAGATTTCCGGGGGCACGTTGTTTCCAAAGAGGTGAAATAGGAGCCCGAGATGGGTTTGGGATCAGGGAAGATTGGATTCCCAAGAATTCCTACTTTCAGAGATGCCTCCTTCAAGAGAGAGAGCGTTTTGTCATCCCCCTGTGGTGGTTAAGGACACAGACTTGAAGGCCAGAAAATCAGGTGATCCTCTGCTTGCTGGTGGCATGATACCCACCATGCTTCTCTGAACTCCAGATTTTGTCTATGTGATGGGGACACATGATTCACTTCAAGGATCATGGGAATGCACACCATGACACTGTGTGACTCAGAGGGATGGTTCAAACATGGTGGGTATGGTGGCAGGAAGCAAAGGTCATACTACTCCCTTTTCCAAATTTACCCAGGAGACGATGGGGAACAGAGGAGAGGAGAGAGCCAAGACAGGAGAGTGGGCTTGGGTTGTACTGAAAGTGCCTGATTGGCACAATGACTTCATTTCACTATTTATTTTGTTTGTGACCTTCAGCAACCAACTATTCATAGGTGACAGTAGGTTTTCAGACAAAGTATACTCTCAAGAACTCTCATCTGGTTGCTACTCTTCGAGTGAGAATGAGCAGGTATCATTGGCATTGGGTTAGCATTGGTTTCTGGGTAGGAAAACGGGGTGGGGGTGGGGGGGAGGAGAAGGCTCAGAAGGTATAGGTCCTTGGCCAAGGTCACCTAGGACATGGCAACTCCACATTGTGAAACTACACCTCTAGGTCCCTGACAATGGCCAGAGCAGAGTGTTTCAGGTCACACAGGCTGCTCAGCCTTTGGGGTCAAGTATGGGCCCTCAAAACAAGACTGCCAGACTCAAACATCTTTAGGCACCCTCACCTCTGCCTCACCTCCATGACTGTTTTGCTCCAGAATTCTTTTTATGGTCCTGAGTGGCCGATGAATGTAATAATACTCACTATGATTATGGAGGTCAGGACGAAAGCCGTTTCCCCCTTGCCAAGATGATCTGTGTTTGGGGGGGCACAGCCTTCCCTCTAAATCCCATCCACACATTTTGAATTAGGAGTGATTCTGCCCTCGAAACACGGTCAATTTATCTACAACAGTGTTTGGGAGGAAGAGGATAATGGAAATTTTAATGAAAACGCCAACGCAATGAGACTAGGAATCGGTTCTTTTGCAATAGGAAGCAGCTACTTTGCTCAATAGGCGACAAAAACCTTTAGCTTGTGTTCATGAAAATTATGACCGACCCTGGCTCCACTGAGATTTCACCAAGAGGAAAAAAAGAATCTCAAGGGTTCAGAGGCAGTTCACTTGGAAGTTGCTCTCCAGACTTCAAGAACATTTCCATTTTTCAAAAGGGCACACAAAGAAAGAGGCAGGCTTCCTGTGCCAAAGGACACAGGTTCTCTGAATCCTAGCACTGTGCGGGAAAATGTGTTACTGGTTGTGCTTTGTCGCTCATGGCTATGAGGCAGTAGGTCTGATTGTCACACACTGGGATCACACACTCAGGCACAGCATCAGGCACAGGTCTGAGCTACTGTCTTAGTTAAGGTTTCCATTGCTGTAATAAACACCATGCCCAAAAGCAGTTTAGGGAGGTTAGGGTTTAGTTCAGTTTACAGCTCACAGTCCACCATGAAGGGAAGTTGGGACAGGAACCTGGAGGCAGGAGCTGATGCAGAGGCCATGGAGGCACACTGCTTGCTCCCAGTGGCCTACTCAACCTGCTTTTTGATACATGCCAGGACCACCTATCCAGGGGTGGCATTTCAGACAAGGGGCTGGGCCCTCCCACACCAATCATTAATTAAGGAAAGGCTCCACAGGCTTGTCCTCTGTCCATTGCTGTGAAGGCCTTTTCTGATTGTGGTTCCCTTGTCTCAGATAACTCCAGCTTGTGTCCAGTCGGCAAAAGTACTAACAGGACAGTCTGGAACGGTCCTGAGCAGCAAAGGTGACCTGTTTTTCCACTGAAGCCTAGTTTGTATGCTGCGTCTCTGACAGGGGCCATTTAGAGCAAAGGAAAATAAAAAAGAGATGTGCATGGCTGAATGACCAACAGACCAAACGCCACAGCTGAAAATGCCTGGGTGTATTAGGAGAGCCACCTAAGGGAGACCTACACACTCAGGAAGCACTGCCATTGAGTGGCAGGACAGTGTCACCCACTGTGTTTTGAATACACAATGGCTGCTGCAGGTTTATGTGTTTGAACACTTTGTTCCAGACCCACGGAACTGTTTTGAGACTCTTTAGGAGGCGGGACCTTCATTGGAGGGAAGTGGGTCATTGTGGACAGGCTTGAGGTTTTCGTCTGTATCCACTAACTATCCACTGCTCCGTGTTCCACTGTGGAGCTGCCTAATGCCATGCCTTTCCCATCATGCTGGGGTTGTATTTCCTCCAACTGCAAACTAAAAATATCTTACCTGTAAGTTGCTTCTTGTCAGGTATTTTGGTGAGAATGATGAGAAAAGTAATTATTGTGTCCATCCAGTCTTCCACAGAAAAGATCAAATAGTTTCACAGGAGTGGTTCCATCACAGCTCCTCGTGGCAGACACAGATGACACTCAACTCCGTCCCCATTCTTTCACTCCTGATTATATTCACAGCCACCATTCTATTCCCCAAAGAGGAGGGGCAGCCCAGATTTCAAACGAAACTGTGTTCAAAGCCTGCCTGGTTGTCAGGGTGTTTATAAGACCAATTGCAGTCACAATCAACAAGAAATAGAGTCTTCTGGAAATTCTGACCTCCTCAGTTTGTGCATTTTCATGGTTGTATGCAGGAGTGGCCCCAAGTTCTCCGCATTGCTCTACTTTTTAATCAACTTTCAATCAAATTATTTCCCTGCCCCATGACTCTGAATTTGGCTGTGTGACTTGCTTTGGCCATGACTGTTGGTGGAATTTTCTTGTCCCCACCATCTGCTCTCAAATAACCATCATGGAGACTTAAGATTAGTTATACATGCTCGACCGATTTCTCAGACTTGTTGCCATCTAATTCTGACATTTAAATTAATCATATTTTTTTATCCACGCTTTTTCACGTGGCTTGGTACCTTTTCTCAGTATGGCCTGTCTCTGCATCTTCCTGAAACTCCTTGGACCCCACCCTCTTCTTCCTATCATTCTCAGTTTGTCTCTCCCACCTAACTGTATCCTGTTCAGCTATTGGCTAGTCAACTTCTTTATTAACCAATGAGAGTAATACATATTCACAGTGTACAGAGGGATTATTCCACAGAACATGGTATGACGACAAATATGATATAAACTGAAACTGAGCTGGGTGTTGGTGGTGTACGCCTTTAATCCCAGCACTCAGGAGGCAGAGGCAGGCAGATCTATGTGAATTCGAGGCCAGCCTGGTCTACAGAGTGAGTTCCAGGACAGCCTCCAAAACAATACAGAGAAACCCTGTCTGGAAAACCAAAACAAAAAGCAAAAAACCCACAAAAAAAAAACAACTGAAACTGAAATGTAACTGCACAATGAAGATTCTGTCTCTTGAGGTTCTTAGAAACATGTTGCTATTATAGGAAGACACCAGAGCTAACCATTTGTGTGATGAGAGAAATATGGTCTCTTTGTTCCAGTCAACAATATGCCAACAACCAGAGACATGAATGACCCACACTAGACCACCCAACCTCCAGTCAGACTGCTGGATGAGTGAGCCCAGTAGAGTCAAGAACTGCTCAGCTAGGCGGGAGCAGTGGTACAAGCCTTTAATACCAGTACTTGGGAGGCAGAGGTAGGCAGATTCTGTGAGTTTAGGGTCAACCTAGCCAACAAAGCAAATTCCAGGATAGCTATGTCTGTTACGCAGAGACACAACAGCTTATGATTCAGAGATTCATAGGGCAGGAGAGAAGGACACCACAGGTCATGTAGGGCCACATGAGCACCAAGCAGACAAGCTGAGTGTCCGGCTTCCTTTTCTTGCCCCTGTGGCCAAATACTGGACAGAAACAACTTCAGGGAAAAGAGTTGGATTTTGGCTACAGTTTTGGCAGATTTGGTTCATGGCAGCAGGCGCTTACGGCTGGTCACTTCAAAGTGGCAGACAAAAAGCAGAGTGCTACACAGGAAGCTGGCCAACTGTAGCTCTCAAGGAATGCTGGCATAACCTGTAGCTAGGCCTCACATCCTAAAAGGCCTCACAACCTCCAGAAATAACACCACAGACTGCGGAGAGTGTGCTCAAACACACAGGAGCCTGTGGCAGAAAGACACATGAATGCAGGTCCTCCAGGAAGCCCGAGGTGAAAGTGAGGCGCTCCATCTGGTTGACCATTTTGAATAGCTCCACGTGCTGCCACAGGACTGAAGCCTTCTAGTCAGCACATAGACCCACAATAAGGAGGACAGTCTAGGTGGAAACCCCATGCACTAGAACAGAGATAGAAGCCTTGAGATTTGGTCGTTTGAAGCCCTTTTGGTTTTTCCAGGATGGATGTCAAGGTAACACATTGCAGAGCTTTAATTCAGACTTTGTCATCTACCGTAGCTAAGCAAAGTCCCCACTGAAAGGGGGTCTAATTGGGAAGCTTGATTTCACCTTACTGTTTTGTTTTTGTCACACATCTGCCTTTATTGCAAACATCAGGTGGGACACTTGTAGCAATGATAAAAAATTAATTTACAAAAGCATGAACTTGGTAAAGCTGCCTGATGGGTACCATAGGGAACTCATACATAGATGCCAACCCAGAGCAGGAGGGAGAGGACTCCAAAGCCCATGAAGAGCAAAGCCACCAAGGAGACGAGAAGCTCTTTGTAAATATCACGTGTGTACTTGGTGGAGGTGACCTCATAAATGAAGAACCAGGCGGTGAAGAAGCTGCCGATGGCCAGAAGTACCACAGTCAGGTGCAGGAAGACAGCTGGGTTGACCAAGCTGGTGTATTCACTCATGGTCTCATGCTCCATTTTGCCCCACACAGATAAACCACTGGTCTACCATCAGAAGAACACGTCAGACCATCTTACTGTTTTACAGTTCAAGAAGGCAAGCTCTACAGATTGGAATGGTTGGTGAGTGAGCAGCATTCCACCTTTTATTATTCCTCATCTGTATAGATGCTCCCCCACCTCATAGCTACTGCTTTTAAATAGCAGCAGTGGCAAGATTGTGGTCCCGCCTAGTACAACCCTCCCTTATCCATACGAAACTGTTCTTCTCCAAGAGAAATCTCAGAGAATAACTGGATGGTGTTTGCAGCTCTGGGTGATGCTTATGCCTCCTAACATCAGTCCTGATCCTACTCAGTGCCCTGTGCCCCGAGGACTAAAAAGACAGTGGGAGAAAAGCGTAGGAGGCCAGGAAATTCATATTCTCTCTCACACACATATCTGGGAATTGAGGGATATAATAGGCAGTTCCTGCCGTCACATTGTCAAAGGGAAAACACAAGAAGCCATAGCAGCAAGAAGGTGAGGGTGAGCCCAGGGGGCAGCAATACCATGCAGATGACATGGCACTGGATGGACACGGTTGTTAGAGTCCCACAGCAGACACCAAAGGAAAGATGAACAAAGGGTGTACGGCTGCACTGCATAAGAGTCCACTAGTGGCTTCTAGAACCATCCGGGGAAGACTCTGCAGGGAGCCAGCTAGATTCCTGCGTTGTCAGCGGAACAAGAGCCAGCAACATACGTTAAAAGCAACAAAACAGTCACTGCCTGCTACCTCTCATACATGGAGAACAATGCATGTGTTACTTCGAGGATAGGCAAGAAAATTAGAAGCTTTGTGGGGGAGGTGGGAGTGTAAATGAACACAGATGATTGAAGGCGAGGATGTAATGATATTACTAGACTCAAGGGAAATGATAAATCAGTGTTTATTGGGGAACAATCACACAGAAAAATTCAAAGAACGGCGGAAGCGTTTCCCTGTGCTTCCTACCGTATCCGCTGGCCCACCAGCAATAACCTGAGCAAGTGAGACCACGCCTTACGCCTCACACTTCCCTCTTTCCACTTCCGTCCACCTGAAGCCGCACCCAAAGGGGTGTGGCCACCAGTACAGGTTCACAGACTAGATGCCTACAAATGGTATGGAAAGGAACCAGGGCTACTGGAAGCGGAATGGTACACGGAGTGGCAGCGGGGTGGGGTGGCGGACAATCAGCAACACATTGTGTTGAAATGCCACACTGGAACCTAACGCTTTGTATTGCCAATTTAGAAATCAAAGGTAAGGGTTGGCATTTGTTGTCAGTTGTTTTCTTCGTTTTAACCATCCTTCCTGGGGTGGGAAGAAATCTCAACATAGTTTTAATTCTCATGTCCCTGATTTTTAAGGATGTTGAACTTTTTAAAGTTTTCATGGCCCATTTTCATTTCTTCTTTTGAAACTGGAAACAGTGAAACTGTTAGAAGAAAACACAGCCATTGCCAGGTATGGTGGCTTAGGTCTTTAGTCCCAGAACGTGGGAGTCATAGGCAAGTGGATCTCTGTGAGTTCAAGGCCAGCCTGGACTACATAGTGAGTTTCAAATCACTCAGAATTGTATAATGAGACCCCATCTGTGGTGGTTTGAAAGAAAATGGCCTCCAGAGGGAGTGGCCCCATTAGGAGGTGTGGCTTTGTTGGAGTAGGTGTTGCCTTGGAGGAGGAAGTGTGTCACTGTAGGGGTGGGCTTTGCGGTCTCCTTTGCTCAAGCTACACTTGGTGTGGTAGACAGTTCACTTCCTGCTGCCTGAGGATAAGTCGTAGAACTCTCAGCTCCCTCTGCAGGACCATGTCTACCTGTGTGCCACCATGCTTCCTGCCATGCCGATGATGGACTAAACCTCTGAACTGTGCGCCAGCCTCAAATAATGCTTTCCTTATACGAGTTGCTGTGGTCATGGTGTCTCTTCAAAGCAACAGTAGCCCTGACTAAGATGGTGTCTCAAAAAACAAAGCAAATATAGGCAGTACCTTATAAAACATAGGCACAGGAAAGGGTTCAGTGAGATATATTTGGATATATATGAATATGTAAATATGTATCATACACACACATGTATATGAATGGATATCTAAAAAATGTATCAAAGGATTCAGCGAGGTAGGAGAAAAGAGTCTGCTGGTCAAGAGCTACACTCATCTGGGGAAGACAACAAATTCAAGTGAGGTCTAGCAGCTTGCTCAGAGTCTCTACTGAGTTTCCAGAAGACACAAGAACTTCCAAGGCCCAGAGAAGTTGAAGGATTTCATTCAGGTCACACAGGCAGTGAGTAGCAGGGCCAGTTCCTCTCAGCCTGGCATGACATAGCAAACCACAATGGAGTAACTTCTAGGAAATAATGCCTACACTGGCTTCCCTCTCAGTGAAAGAAAAGAGCTACTGTCCACATACAATGAAGTCATTTGATTTCCTCGTGCCTCCAACAGGCAAGTTCCCCTATCCTGTCATCTGCCTCTCAGCTTAACTTGAAAAAAGACTTTTCTCTTATAAATATATCTTAAGTGCTGTGTGGTGGATGGAATAATTAGTTGGAGGTCAGGAGGCCCGAATTCATCTCTTGGATCACTAGTGACTACTTTGGTCAGTGGGTACTAGATTTTGAGTAGGTCACTTCATCCTTGGGGGCCCTCAGTCGTTTCATCTGCAAAATGATAGTGTTCACTCGGGTCTGTTGTTCTCTGGTTCAACCCTGGAATGCTAAGAATACATGGATTATGCCTGAGGGACCGATACAGAAAAGATCAAACGGGTAAGATTTATTCCATCGCTATAGCTTAGCTTTCCATATTGGGGTTCCCAAGCTATAAAAACCCTAAACCATGTAAAGAATTACTCAGACCCTGATAATCTGTGATTCCAAGACAGTTGATGGTTCTAAAGATAGCTTGTGCCCGAATGCCTCAAATGAATATAATTTTGGATGGACTAAAAATAAAGAATGCTGGTTTGGATTTCTTGGGGTTTTTTTGTTATTTTTTTCCAGAACAGCATAGAGAGAGTGGACTGAGAAAAACTATTTTGTGAATAATAGGGAATTATGTGGCTTTCTTGCCAAGATTTATTACATAATCATGATTTGTCCTCAGCAGCCCCAGCCCCAGTTGAAACTTTACTGCATGTACATCTGCCTGAAGGATGTGTGCTGGGAGAGTCTTATAGGCTGAACCCACACACATTCCTGCGTGGAGCTTGGCAGACCTTCCGAGGAAGTTAGTGGGAAAAATAAAATTTACGTTCCTTATTTCTGCCTCTAGAATCTTAATCACATTAGGGATTTATTTACCCATTAGATAAATGCCTGTTATTGTGACAGTAAGGGTAAGCTAATTTAAAAATATAATTTTAGAGGATTGTTTAAGCAAGTGGATTCAGCCAGTGTTAGTCCAGAACAGCTGTTCAATGGTCTGGTAATATTAGAACTATAAAGAAACTGACATTCTCAAGATGTATTGCTTGGTATCAATGGACAATGGTCTCCAGGGCTCAGTCTTTGGGACAATAAAATACAAAGAGCTAAGGTAACATTTAGAGAGTAAAGTATTACAATCTAGGCAACTGAAAGTTTTCTTCTTGTTGCTTGTAGATGTGCACCCTGGAAGGACCCACTAGGACCATCTTCAAGTGAGTGAAGGTATTTTTGTAAATTAGGTCAGTCATCATCATTTCTCTTGTCCCTGCAGAAACAAGGGATGAGGTTTACATGTGCCTCTTTCAAGATGAATGGCTACAGAAGATCTTTATTGTCTTGATAACTGTAGGAGAAGCACGTGGAGAAATGCGAGCTGGTAGAATTGTTATCAGAATACCACACCTGTACAAGGCTGGATTTTTTAAGAAGCCTTTTCCTATGCCTGTGTGAACAGATGGGGAGCCTTAGTCAGGTGTGATAGCTCAAGTCTGTAATCCAGAACTTTGGGGAAGAGAACTGAGACAGGAGATTGCTGTGAGTTTGAGTCCACCCAAGGATACCTAGCAAGACCTGGACTCAAAACAGAAAAGGGAAGAACCTTCCACAGAGAAGTAGAAGTAAGTGACAAGAGCAGGACAAGGTGTGCCCTCCTGTGCAGTCATGGGGCTCCGGGCACTGCAGAATGAGAAAGACCAGCCACCAAGGACAACTTTGGGGGGATGTTAGCCTTGACAAGGCCCCAGATGAGATCATCCAGTGAAGAACCGCATGCCAAGACTGTATACAATGACTTGGTGCCCTGGAGATTTAAAGAGCTTTGAGATCTGGCCCTCATCAGCAAGGGATTTAGATTCCTTCAGACAGCCCTGAAACAACTCAGCGAGACACAAAGGCCAGGCCACCAATTTGTTTATGTATAACAAGAATGATCCTCAGTCATTCTACTGGAACACATATATTCGTTTTGGACTGATGACAGTGCATGAGGAAACTGACGAGGGCACAAATTTTTAGGGTGAGAAGGTCCTTTGGACTTGTCCATGTTATGTAAGCCAGAATAAATGCTTGTGAAGATTCTCAGTCATCTGCTCTTCATGAGGTCTCCAAATATTCTTCAGTGACCTCAGAGCTGCTCTCAGTGGTCCCACACACATGCTTTTATTTTGCCACTAGAGTCAAGCTACCTGGTCATTAAAAGTCATTTGGTGACTGTAGAATCAAACCCACCTGGCTTGGAAAAATATTATGTACTAGGAAGTACATGTAATCCATTTCCTGTATCTCTGATGAATAGATCCATCAGTGTGGCCCAGCTGCCACTTCCCCTCCGGGCACAGTTCTGAAGGGACCAGACCACTCCGTCGCTTGGCTTGTGTAGTGTGACACTCACCATGCTACCTCCTCTTTGAATGGTCCCTTTGTACTTTAAAGCATTGGTCATTCTGATTCCCGCATATCTGGAGAACTTTGTAGTGCGTTCTTACTTTCCACTTTTCATTTGTTTGCTATTATCTTCTGTGCTTGGGACTGAACCCAGGGCCTTACACATACAAGTGAAGTGT